TGCCCGCTTGCAGATCTTTCCAATAGTGGCAATAGTTGGCTTCAGCCAGAAATCCTGCATGATCTAATGCAATCTTACTAAATTTTTCATAGGTGATCCCCTCCTCTTTAGTGCGGGGATATAACTGAGTTCGGACGGGATCAGGTAAGGCGCGAGCAAAACTATTCAAAATCTGAGTCGGGGTTAACCCATGCTCGGTGCACTGTAACAACTCATCCATGGTAGCTTTTAGTGCCGACGTGCTTTTCCACTTCCTGTCAGGAAGGTTCAAGATTAACATTTCTGTTCTTCGGGCAAGATTCTTATCTTCGAACCTCTCCCTGACGACTTTGAGAAAGTCTTCAATGTGGGTTTGGTGGGAAAACTCTACCATCGAACTACATCCTGCTTCCTTTTGTAACGAGATGGCAAAACTCATCGCGTCACCGGCCATGCACGAAGTGGCCATCAAGACCCTATCCCAATAGGGAATCCGTTGTCCGTAGACATAAGACTCTACAGCCGCCATCCAATGCAACACGCTTTCTGTTCTTTTGCCGGTGTACGTCCATGGAATTTTAACTTTAATTTTGTTGCTGGTCCCAACTCCTTCTTCTCGCTGTCTTCCCCTTCCTTTCTTATCTCCATCTCCGTCACCACCTCCTCCTCCGCCGCTGCCCTGCACTATTCTCTCAATCACGACTGGAGTAAAGGTTTGAGTGAGATGATCATCCAGTTTGTTGATATAGGACTGAATGTGCAGATCTACGTCCTTGGCGGACTTCTGTAAAAAAGTGTTCCATACATTTTCAAATTCCAGTTGATTTGTTTCAACTTTCTGCAAGGTCCTATTGATTGCAGCAACTTCCTGTTTCGTATGGAGAACTGTTTCAGTTAGGAGGGCGAGTTTTTCTTCAGTAGCCGCTTGTTTTTCCTTTTGTGCCTGCAGCTCGCTGTGTAACCTCGCCCCCTCTGCTTGCAACTTCTTTCTATCATCAAGCTCTTTGCGCTTTGTCGCTAGCATCTTGCTATGTAGTTCAGTGMGTTTTTYTTCCAGCRTCAGTTYTMTCTTCCTTTGATCTGTTACTAGTGCTAGCCTTGCTATGAATGTGTCTCGTTCTTCTTCTGTCTCTTCTAACTTGTCACTGGAATAAGAATACTGGTCATACCAGTCCAATGGCTTGACAAATACTTCTCCCCGGACCTCACTTGTCTCGCCACTTTCTGCACGCCGCCTGATAAGTCTCTCTCCCCCTTCTTCAGAGGCTTCTTCTTCTTCCTCAATAGTCTGCAATTCATCCTTTATTTCCTGTTCCCACTTTTCCTTTAACTTCCTCTTCATCTCCTCTTCTTCTAACTGGGATTTTTTCTTTAACTCTTCTTCTTTCTTCTTCTTTCTTTCTTCTCTTTCTTTCTTCTTTTCTGCTTGCCGGCGGTCAATCTCTGCCTGCTCAGTAGGTGTGGGCCCTGGCTTCACTGCTCCTGATCGCATCATCATGCAGGATGTACACACGCGTCCGAACCCCAGTGGGAATATGAACCTGAACAGTGGGCCCCACAAGACAGAGAGGGCCAACAGGCCCCAAATGGGATAGTCATCCATGATGATTGCCGGCACAGGAGACCCTCCACCGGATCACCAAGATACTACTATCCCACTTACAGACTTAGTTTTGACTTGCGGTAATGGAGTACTATACTGCCTCTTTCCCTTTTCGACTGTAGAAGGTGCTGCGTACTATCAACAATAGCTCAACCTGCAATGAACTTTGAATATGTCCTTTTTTTTTTTTTTTGATGTGCTATCTGGCCTCCTGGATCGAACTTTTGGTAATGTGTTTCTGTCGTCTTGCTTTCTCTTTTTTTTTTTTTGTTGGTACTAACTTGGCTGGTTGCTGGGTCCAGATATGGAGTATAGCGCAGAAGGTCAGATGCAATTGGTTCACTTCTCCAACCAGGCAGAGATACTTCGTATACTCTGTTCTTTCTTTCGGGCTTGACAGGCCCTGCAGATGCTCAATATAATCCTTATGCTATCTGACGTGGCTCATAGCCCTTCCCACATCGATCCTTGGTTCTTAATGACAATACCCAGCCTGCCTAACAAGAGGGGTAGGAGAGAGACCTACTCCTATTCGCAGGACACTGGACCATGTACTCTAGTGTGACCAGTTCCTGACACATCACACTTGGGTCGTCAGACTCTGACGGCTCAGACCTGACAGCTATGACACCCCAGATCCAGACTTYRACTCYTRACBAGATCAGCAGCAGTCACCTTCAGAGGGTCAGAGAGAGAGAAGGTAGGGGACACACACATGCATGCAGGTTCAGGGAAAGGAGGTGCTTCTCTCTTTTTGAAGATACCGCCGATGATGCTCCACGACGCTYCGCACGCTCCAKGTAAGTAACTTCGTCACTTCTTCTTCGACCTGCTTCCCCCCACTACAAAACTCTTCTTCTCTTCCTCCCTCCTTCACTATACCTCCATCACCACTTCTTCTCGCCGGCTTT